GAGCTTCCAGGTGAATTGGCCCGTGTTATCATTCCACCTTGTGATGTCATGTGATAATATAGGAAGTGCATCATGGTGTTTGTAAACTCCATACCTTCACCAGAATCCTTTGGATGATTTCAACCCTAAACTAAAGCTAAAAGGTAGCTACTAGGGATGTAACGATATCCAAATGTGTCGGTACGATATTATCAGGATATGCCTCTCCCAATACGATATTTATTGGGATATTTTGAAAAGGCTGATATAATTGTAGACAGGACACTTTTTTGCTTTTAAAATATCTTGACAAGATTTTGATGTGAATTATTTCTGTCAAAATCCCAAGAATTCAAGTAAAAAACATATTTCTTCATGTTGTTGCACTGAAATGAATCATGGGATATGTAGTTCCTGATGTTTATAAGCCATTGCTACTATAAACCATGCATTTAAGCAAAGAAAGTTGTGATTTGATATATTATGACAGGCCACAGTATTACTGTGAGACTTAAGACGATACAATATCACGATATTTTAGTTATTGTTACATCTTTAGTAGCTACACTACACTACATGACATCACAAGCTGGAGCATTTTAAGCTTTAGAGATGTAAAAAGACTTATAAATTAAAATAAAAAGATTACTCTAACATGTGTGAATGAAACAAAACAACTCCAGGTTTGTTTCTGGTGAGATAATAACATGCAACCATGACTTAAAACTCACAACAGTACATTTTGCGTAATATAAGACTTTTAAAATCTGTTTATCTGAAAAGAAAGTGAAGCGTAAGCAGTGGCTGGACAGATGGGAGCTGTGGTTGTGGCTGAATGACTAGCTCCTCCAGTGGCTCACAGATAATGATCATGTTCACAGTCACTATGGGAGACACACAGGTATTTTTACAGCACTTTAAATCATGGTCAGGTCAATTTTGAACTGAAGCTTGAGCTGAGAAAACAAGAGCCTTTCAAGAATTCAAGCCCAAAACCTGCAACAACAGCAGAGCAGGTTATCTTGATCGACCCACGCAAGTAAAATCTACTTTTATGAGCTTTCATCTTTATAATCGCAATGTCCCCTCATCATTAAAGGGGATGTACCGGCTTTTAAATCATGTAATAAAGTAAAATGTGTTTGCCCTAGTAAAGATACATCGTAAAAGCAGCTCTTGAGGTCAAAATAAGTCTGTTTTGTAATATTGCCTGCATCTAATTATAGTTTTTTTTTTCTCCAAAAAGCAGTTAATAAGGTTTTGAGGTAAACTCTGCTCTGGTCTCTGAGAGTTGTGAAAAGTGCTTATAAACTCATCACCGTGAATAATTAGGATGCATTTACACGCCATATTCATACTAGGCAATGTGTTAGTAAAGCATCTTGCTCAAGGACACAACAACAGTCTGCGCTAGAGCTGGTTTTCCCATCGGTCTATTCTTCCCTCAAACAGAGACCCAAACATGTTTCTAGGTCTGTTTTTGATGAGGTAACAACATTATAACATGGTTTAAAGCTCACATGAGTCAGTTTTGCATAATGTAGCACCTTTAATTTTTACATGAAAGACCAATAAAAAAAACAATAAAAAAGCCAATAAAATACAATAAATGTTTGTGCCTGTGTCAGTGGGTGAAGTCATACAGAGCTGGATCCATCTCAGGTGCACTGCCAGAGATTTTATGTATTATTACAATTGTGAGCCTATTTACCTTGTGGCAGATTTGTTTATCAGGAATCAGAAATCTCTAACTAACAAAGTGTCTTGTGTTTGTGACCTGCAGTCAGGACAGCTCTGATGCCAGGTGCTCACTTTTTCCACTTTCAAGATCAAGTTAGTTCAAGTTCAAGTGACAGACACAAGGATCTGAGCCAAAACTTTCCCAGGCTGTGGAGGGATATTATTTTTAGGCCTCTTTTTAAAGACTACAATACTGTAATACATAAAACATAGGTTTCTTCATATCATGTCAATATTTTTTACTTCTGCTAATAATATTAATAATATAAAAACAGCTCACACAGAATCCTAAACTGAGTCTTAGATTTCCTAAACACAATTTAATCTCAGCAAAGTGCAGTTTTGTATTCAAAACAGATCAGTCATTCTCAAAAAACAAGTGTTACCATCAAAGCTCTCCGACTCCGGTCACGTGTTTTTCTGTGCCCTTTCATTTATGTGACAAAGGAACTCAGAAGTTTTACTCCTTCTCTCAGTGACCACGGAGAATCTGGTTTAGTACAGTCTCATACTTGGCTTCACACTTTACACACGTGAATTTTGGACTGTAAAAGCTGTGCTTTTTTGTCTAAAATCTATTATATATTATGTGAAATGTAAGTGTCCACATTACCGATTGCGAAGCAGATTTTGCAGTATTTGATCCAAAATATTTATGCTGAAGAAAACTGAAAGATGTTGGAAGAGCAAATACATCAGCACTACTTTTGTCCTGTCATGTGTATGTGTTCTTGAAAAGACATCACAGTGTGTGTATGTGTATGTCTCTATATTCACACTGTGCTCTCAGCTGAGATCCCTCTCTCTGTTTGACTCATGTGTAAAATCTTTTGGTGCTCACAAATTGTCGAATTTTGCCGTTCTGTTTGAGTTGATGTATTGAAACTGACAGCGTTTGAGCCAATGTCAATACAGACAGGTTTTAGACAAAAAATGTGTGTGTGCGTGTGTGTGTGTGCGTGTGTGTGTGTGTGTGCGTGTGTGTGTGTGTGTGTGTGTGTGTGTGTGTGCGTGTGTGTGTGTGAACTGCAGTGTGAGAGTGCACTAAACCAGTGATTCTCTGTAGTCCCTGAGAACAGGACTAAAACTCCTGAACTGCTCTGTCAAATGAAAGAAAGAGCACAGAAAAACACATGAGCAAAGTGTGAGAGTTTTGTTGTTGAAACTTGCTTTTGGGAGATTTGGAATCAAAAACAGCACTTTGCTGAGATTTCCTTTTAATTAGAAAAATTTTAATTCTGTTTAGAATTTTGTGTTAGCTGTGTCGCAAATGTCGGTTTTCAGTGGATAAATGTGCTAAAGAAAAAAAACAACACAAAACTATTAACTTTAAAGGAGTCTCTGACAATAATGTTATTCTTCTGCCCCCTAGTGAAACCATTATGCAATTGCACTTTCTTTGGATTTACTACTACTACTACTGCTACTACTACTGCTACTACTACTACTACTACTACTACTACTACTACTTGTTATTTATGCAGAAATGTGTAAAGTGAATGTACAAAAAATAATATAATAATACATGATAAAATAAAGCAAACGATTAAAAGGCCAATTCATTAATTCATTCGGAATAATTAAATTGGAATTTAAAAAAAAAACAAAAAAAAAAAAACATAATGTAAACGTGGCCAGTTCGGATTTAAGGTTAATTCCGAAGAAGTTTAATTCCGAATAATCATTAGGAATTAAGTGTTTACATGGTCTTTTTAAAGCGTTAGGAATTAAATTATTTATAATCGGAATTAAAGCGCTCATATAAACGGGGTAATAGAGTCTGGCTCCAGATTTACTCCTGTAACGCTGAGCATCACGAGCCTCATGTGTGCGGCGCTGAACGCTGTGGGTGACGCTGAGTCCACTTCTTTTATACAGACTGTTTATCGGAGACAGAACCAACAGGACAGTGGGCAGAGGATACGCTCTGCATCAGTCCTCTGGAGAAGGTAAGAGGCTTGTTTTCGTTATAGGCAAATCTGCGGGCGGACCCTCACAGGTAAATAGTGTTATAGTTAAATAATGTTATAGTTAAATAATGTTATAGTTAAATAGTGCGTAAATGAGCTCGGAGCCCACGGAGCTGCCCCGGTTGTTCTGCCGTGCGCTGTAAGAGCGACGCTGATGCCATTTCAGGCCAGTTCAGCCAATAGTTGCCAAAATGACTGTCTGTTTTTTGCATTCATTATAATACGATATAACCAATATATAATACGTATATTTATAAAATATATTTATAATTTTGTTGTCAAGGCGGCCGCTTTAACTATAAAGTGCTACGGGAAACAGTGGATAGACAGATAGATAGAGAGAGAGATCGATCCATGGGATAGTTGTCATGGTGATTTCCGCCAGGTGGGCGTGGTCACGTGGGCACAGATGTATGCTGGGGTCTTTTAAAAATTTCGCTCACCTACACAGGTAAGATACCTGTCACCTGATGACGTGGCACCGGGGAGCCCCGACTCGTTTTGTTTGTTGACAGCTTCACTTAAGTCGCTGTTGATGTCACTTCAAACGCTGTTTTATGTCAGAGGAAGCTCCTCTCACGGCAGGCGACGTTTTTAGCGACAAAGAAAGAAAAGGCGATGCGGAAGCGCAGGACCCGCGCAATTCAAGAAAAACGCGCCAAAAGTGCAGCGGCACCCGGATGACCATCAGCACGACAAACAGCACAACAAACAGCACGCAGGAGTCCAGGTGAGTTTTACAGGTCCAGGTAAGTCTTGTTTGTGGATATGGAATCATTATTGCAATAATAAATTGCTGCTCGTTTGTAAATGTTGGATGAATGAAGCTGCTGGGGGTGCGTACCCTACTAGCATTAGGATCCGCACCGGATCCGCTTTCGCTCCGTCAAATCCGCCCCACAGTCCGTCCGCTTTGCGGATCCGCTGCGTATTTGTTCCGTATTCGCTTTCTGACTGTTGCTAACCCTAACCCTTGGATGTCCTGCTGTTACAGAGATAATCTGCGGTTAAATCATCTTAGATCCGCACTGTGAACGTACTTTTAACACAACACTTTGTTTTGACACAATAATTTGTACTGTCAATGCGCGGATCGGATTCGCTGCGCGGACGCGCCACTGACTCATCAGCCGTTATCGGGACCTGAGTGGAAAGAAGCAGCATTCACCTGTTGTCCGCGGATTTAACTGTAAGTAATAGTTTAAAAGTTAATTGTATTAGTCATCATTAATGTACATAACGTTAACGTTATATTGTGGTGTGTGTACATCTGTGACTGTGTGTGTTTTATCAGTTTTGACGAATGCAGTAGGAAAGTTAACGACAGGAGCAGCTGACGTGATGAAGACGATGTGAGGTCAGGAGTCAGGATAACTCCATCTCTTGAGGTAGATCCCAGTCTAAATACTATTTTTATATAACGCTACTTATATTCTTGTATATTTTTACGATCACAGAATTGTAATTCTGCTCCGTGATCATTGGTCGTGTCTAACGGGTTCGGTTCTGGCTGGGCGCCGCTCTCGGCGCTCTCCCTTCGGCTGTGGAGCGACGGTGACACCGGTGTCTGATCTGGTTGTGTTTTTAACCAGAGATAATTATTATTTGTGTAGACTAGAGTGTTGACTGTTGAGTTGAGACTAAAGTGCAGTCATGTCAGTGCCTTAATACAATAATTTAACGCAACGTGCCATAATACAAAAGCACAACTTTTAACAACAGCTAACGTTACCTAACCAACCAAAACTTATGTTGTTTTTCCCCAGATGACATCAGGAGCCCCTGTCCTTCTGCTGAGTGTTCCCATCAGGAGCCCGGCACGCTGATCAGAAGTCAGTACGTTTCATGATTTCTGTGACAGTGAAGATTTAGTTTAGAGCCAGATCTGACTTTGTCTCTAACTTTCTGTTATGGGACTTGAGACGGTGCTTCAGACTTTCAGTGAGAGATGTTGACATGAACACTAATGTGTCACATCTATATTACACTGATATTGACTATGAACACCATCATAAATTGATTATTATATTTTAAATGTTGTGGTAAAAGTAAATGTAGTAGAGTATTGTGTATTAACAGCAGTGAAATACGTCTCATGTTCATACTCAGGCTTATACTAAAACAAAAGAGTTCAGTTTTACTGCGCTAAAGTATTTCCTATGAGTTAAATAATGTTTTTCATCTCTGTTTCAGAATATACTATGGTTAATAAGAAGATGGACATAACAGCATGATGAAGACCCTCTGGAGGTAAATACTGCACTTGTATTAAACACTGAGGCCTGAAATGATCCAAACTGATATTTGTGTTTCTCTTATTTGATGTATTACAGAATTCCCTCTGCTGGGCCAAGTTCCAAAAATGTAGAGACAGACCCTCTGTAAGTTTACTGTATTATCCTACTTTTATTAACTTTCATAACTAAACATATGCACATTATAATCACACCTGTTGTTGTGCATATTGTTTCTTTCAGAACATGCTGTGGTTGAGTTTAAAGACTGACCCTCTGTAAGTGCATAGATTTCTCCAATCAAGTGTTTACCTTTCATGTTCAAATCACACAGCCACTGTCATGACTTACAATGTTCTTCACAAACCTGAACTCTAACTCCTTACAAGAATAAGAGGTTTAATGGGGTGTTTAATACACACTGGTGTCATTTCAGATGCTGTGAGAAAGGAGAAGTCCAGAGCTGGACACTGACAGACTGGATCTTCACCAGTCGGACTGAAGAGGAGCCAGCCTCATTACACCTCTGCCTCAAAACCTCTGCCTCAGATTGAAGCTAAAGACAGAGGCTCTGAAGCTCCCACACTGCACACTCTAGAAGAACAACCATTCGTCTAATTGTACTGTGGTGGGAAACACAAGTTAAGTTTGAGTTTTAAACAGTATGGTATGGCTACACTCATCTGTCCAGGCTTTTACTCATATAGCTTATATTTGTTTTTTGCCATTTAAAAACAAAACAAAAACTTTGCTTAACTTGAACTATTTTTAGTAAAAACTGTAAATTTTAATTTTCATATTAAGAATGAAGCATTGGTTAACTCAAAGGGTATATAAGTCCTATAACATTAATAATAATTATTCATGTCCTAAGATTTCTAATTAATGATTTAAATAAATATTGTTTACAATAAAAAAAAAAAAAAGTTTCTTTTTTTCTTAACTAATGAGATTTAGTGATAGGATATCACTGATTCAGCTTTGAAATTGTTTAAGTTTATGTTTTTAAATTTAAGCCTTTATATCCTAGTTTTAATACTTACTGTAAAAGGTTTATGTACAATTACAATGCAAATGCTGCTGATGTGTATTTAGGTCAGTAAGTGGATCAGTATTAAATCTGAAGCATATTTAGGCTCCTAACGACACAAAAAACAGATCCGCGGCAGATCCGGGGCAGATAACCCGGTTCTGAAAGCGGATCCAAAACGGGTCCTGGGCGGATCCGCGACATACGCAGCGGATCAGCCGCACCTCCGCTGCGGATCCGGACTTATTTTGACGGATCCGCGGCGGAGGCGCGGCTAATCCGCTGCGTATTGTGCAAGTGAACACCGATGCCGCGTATCCGCCGCGGATATTTTTTGCAATGTGGGTAGTTACTCCGCGCTCCGATTCACGTTTATGCAATGTGCAAAGTGGTTTGAAATAAATAAAGTGATGATGTGATGAGTTTCAAATGGTCATGATGCTTTTGTTGAAAGGAAATGTATTTCACTCTGTGGATGTGTTTTAAATGATGGTTCACTGAAAAAGGTGGATTACAAAAGGAAACATGAAGGTGCGGCCTTGTGTCCTCAAACTGTCTGGTAAAAGGAAACTTACAGAAAGGCCTTTTCTGAAAACAAATGAAAAATATTTTGTCAGTAAAATGAAGGAAATTATGCCACAAACGAAACTCATGAAACAAAAGCAAAACGTGTCTCAAATAAAATCTCTCGGTATTTTGATGTGTGAAGATGTAATTTATCACAAAGGGTCAAACCATGGGGAAAAATGTGTTTTTCAAACGTAAATTGCAATGAAAATTTAAAAAAATGTACACCAAGCTTGGGTCAATAAACTGCAACACAGTGACTCAGAATGATATGAAATGAATGGCACATTTGTGGGAATTAAGTGATCACTTTCCAAACATGAATGAAAAAAGGATGGTACAGAAAATACTCAAACATGCAAATTTAAACAAGTGCAAAACAAAAAATGAAAAGGTGTCATCAAAGGTTTCAAATGGGATGAAAACCTGCTTGTAAAATAAAAATGTCTCGTCTATCCTGGAAATATAAAACGGTACGAAATGCATCCAATTGTACAATGGTCATGATGTAACCCTCAAATCCTAAAACCTCCTATTCTTTCCTTTTATTCTTTACCTTGTGTTCTCTCAAAACAAGATCTGAATGCTGAGGACTGTAATGGCTCAAATTTGGGCCTAAACTCGTCCAAATGTGTCATATTCTAAACACTTTTATGGAGACTGTGTGGTCTCTTATGAGTTGATCTGGTCTAAATGTGGACCAGATTTTAATGTTTAATTTCTACAGGTGGCACTTGGTTTTGGGTCCATGTATTGCGTTTGATGTGGTTGGTAATAATAAAACTGAAACAAGTGCATAATTAAGGAAAACTATTATGCATTCAGAGCACCTTGCTGGAAGAGTTTACCTGAACTGTGTGTTTTGGGTTGAACGTCCATCAGCTTTCCCTCAAAGACCCAAAGGTGAATACAAAACTGTTTTGCTAAAATACTCTAGTATTTTGTAATTTTGTTTCTAACTGTTTCCTTTGTGTTTGCAGGTTTGGATGGTGTCCTCTTAACTCTTTTACAGGTCTCAGTTTTATTATTATCATTAATTAGTTCATAATCAATTTAAGCTAAACCTACTTCATGCCTTGCAACTGCGAGACATGAAAATCATCTGCGACAACTGTAGCAGATGTTAGTTTATTTTATTTGAAAACAGCTAAAGGTTAAACATGTCTGCCATATGTTACTAACCCTGGAGTTTTCAGGTTTTAGGTTGGTGTCTAACCCTTTTACAGCAGCTCTGTGATATCTACTACTGCTATAGAAGCTAAAGAGTGCTGCTGACCAGTGAAAAATGAACCTTTGCCTCCATCTGAAGTTAAAAAGGTCCCAAGAACTATGAAGAAGAAGAAGAAGAATGGAAAATCTTATATCCAAAGCTATACTCCAGAATATGGAATGAATGAAAGAATTGATCCAGACCACCTTGCTGGAAGAGTTTACCTCAACTCTGTGTTTTGGGTTGGGTTGGGCTTCAGCCAGCTTTCCCCCAAACACCCAAAGGTGAATTTAAAACTGTTTTTCTGAAATACACTACTCTTTAAGAAACAGCTCAGTGAAACCATGCTTTGTTGAATCCTGCTAAGATAGTTTTAGTTGTGTACTCCCAAGATAAAACACTTCTTGTAATTTGTCACTGACTCTTTCCGTTGTGTTTGCAGGTTTGGGTGGTGTCCTCCAACTCTTCTACAGGTATCAGTTTTATTATTATCATTAATTAGTTCATAGTTAATTTAAGCTAAATTTACTTCATGTCTTGCAAATGTGAGACATGAAAATAAAAAAATAAAATAAAAATAAAGTGTGTATGGCAAGTTTTTCTAATTATTTTACTTGGTTTGGTGATATTTATTTGTGGTCAATATTTATCATAGTTTTACATCAGTTTTGTGTACTCACAGTATGGTTGCTAGGTAAAAGTTATGAAATTGGTTCTGTATCTGCTGTCTGTGTTCAACTAAGAAATAAAAATAGAAATCTTCATAAATATAATTGCTAACATGTCATTATGCACTTTAATATATCAACTGTGTCTTAAATCTGTCTTTTATCTTGTAGCTTTTAAGTTATATTTATAGGTTTGATTTAGTCATTGTCTCTTACTACTAGAATAAAAAGTACATTTATAAACTATTCTGAAAATCTGTAAATGTTGTAATATTGAATAAAATGTGTCATGTGTGTAGAATTTTCAATTTTTGACTTTTGAGTTTTACAAAGGAAAACCTAAAGAACCAAGTACCCCACGTCGCCCAGTGCAGTGGCGCCATCTGCTGGAAAAGGAATACAAGAACCAGAAACACAGAACTAAAAGAAATCCCCGTTTACAAAATACATTGCTCTCCCTAAATTACCTTTTGATTTCACTTTTGAGTGTCAGTCCCTTTTTTTTTTTTTTTAAATAAGTTGAAAACAACAGAATGAAGTTTTTTTTTTACTAAGTCCCACTTGATTGTTTTATGGGATAGGCTATTTAATTGTTTTTTTTTCTGATTCAGTTATTGAATAAATGTCTGTGTGCCCAGGCTCGATGTCTTCAGACAAGCCAAAAGCGGAAAGACGTGAGGCGGAGAAAGAAGCGGAACTTTCACCTGTAGCACCGGAGTGGAGCTACAAGACACAGGTACAGAGACACAAAGCCTCTTATTGTAGTAAAATCTGTCAAGAAAATGTGAACTCTGAAAATACAGTTTGCAATATTTACATTTATTTTTTTTTTTAAGATAAAAAGACAGCAACAAAAAATTAAGCTTTCAAATCTGAATTACCCCATCGAGAAGTCATGTCAATTATGTCAAACTAGTAGCTCAATATAGTGCATTAATGTCAGTTTTAATATACAAATGTGCGTTCTCTCAACTGCAGGACAGTCAAGATGATCTAAATATAGCATTTAACTCAACCAACAACTTCTAAAGTGAAGCAGCATTTTGTTGAATGCATGCACAAAAATAAGTGTTGCACGCTGCAGTTACAAAAAGTCAGCTTTGCCCCAGTGAATAAACTATTATAATCCTGTCTACATACTATTTCTCCATACACTCTATATAGATACAGTACATTCAAATAGTGATGTTATTAAGCTTTGAGCTCCTAGTTCCTAAATACAATAATAAAAAACAGCAGCACCACCAAGAGTTTAAACATTATTACTGCAGTAGATATTCCCAAATGCAAACACATTTAAAACACGTTTGATCATACCTGCACCAACATGCCTGTGCAATGTTCAAAAAGGATATAACCCAGAATAGTAGACATCTGTCCATGCTGTGTTGTACATCAGTTATGAGTAAAAACTAAATGTATGCTTTTTGTGCTAATCAGTCCAGCTGCTCAGCTCGGTCAAGTCCATTGTTCTGAAGTAACCAGTAACCTGCACAGATGTGAGTGTAATAACAAAGTTACTACACTCATATCTGAACATGGGTTGCCTTAAACTGCATATTCTCATTCTCAATATATAGACATCTCTGAACCTCCAGAATTCAGTCACTGAGCTGCAGAGGTTGCACTAGCACTTAGGTTTAATCCAACTGGGTTTCAGCATTGAAACAGGCGACCCAAATGAGAGACTCATGTGAGGCTCATTCTGCTTTCCCAATGGGTTGTGTGAACCAAAACACCAAATTATAAAAAATAAATGCTACATCATGTCGAACTAAGAATAAATCAGCATTGGAATTGTTGTCAGGAAAGGCTATATTTGATTTGAACTTATTTTTCCTCATATTTGGGGACACTGCTAGGTATTTTTATGAAATTTAAAATCAATCTTACATATAGTTCCTTAAACTTTACAGTTCTTGTATTTTACTGCCAAAAATTACTTGCCTGATACAATATTCTGAGTACCAGTGCCAGCCACCAGAGGGCCCCATACTCCTGGTTGGGAAAAACTGATTTATTACTTAAAGTGGAACTAACACTAAATATAAGAGTTTCTTGTTCTGGTGTTTGTGGCTTTCGAACCTTTCTCTTTCTTCTCCTTCAAGATAATAACGTCGCTACATCACTGGATAGTCATCCCTGCTTGGTTGTCCTTGGACACCAAGCATGTCCAGAGCGTTGACGCCTAAATGCGCAACATGCACCACGTCAACACCAGATTTGCACCACGCTGACACCTGACACGCCACAAAAACCCAAGATGCTCTAGACTCGCGTACATGTAGACGTTGCATGAAAACTGGACGCCTTGACACTCTGGTCTGAATGGACCGTTACGTTGGCCGTTGGTACTTCTTCAGTGACAACATGTTCATTTACTTCTTCCATAATCTTCTGTCTAGTTTTTTTGCGAATTTTTACTGCTCCTGAATCTGTCACTGTACTGCTTTGAGACAGATTGCCGTTGACTTCTGAAACTGAACAACCTTCTGAAACTCTTCTTCCCTTTTTTTTACTGGCAGACACTTGCTGTACTTCAACATACTGGCCAATGTCAAAACCACCCAAAGATCTTGCTGAATTCAACTGACTTTCTGATAAGTGCCTCCCCTTTTTCTGTGTACTCATCCCTGATGTTTGACTGACGGGCATTTGTATGGCCTCAACGTGCTGTCCGAAATCAAACACGCTTAACGACGCCGCTGAGTTTAATCCACTTTCGGACATTCTTCTATCTTGTTTACACAAATTTCTCCCTGAGTATTGACTGCCAGGCGCTTGCTCTGCCCCTACACACTGGCTGATATCAACCACGCTCATGTGCCTTCTACCAAGAGACATCGACCCTGGGAACACCGTATGCTCCATGGACCCCAAACCGTTATTTAACAATACGAAACCTTGCATGTTGGGTACTTGTGGCTCTGCGAAAACCATAGCATTTTGAACTTGAGGTTGAACAACATAATGCATAGGTTGTAAAATTGGCGAAGTTGGTTGCATCACTGGGGAAGTTATGTAGTAAACCGGCTGTTGCTGCAGTACCACCGCCTGACCTAATGGAGGCACTATTGTTGCCCTTGGAGGACTCAATAGCGGTGACTGGACAACGCTAGCACTCTGAAAATCTTTCATGCTATAACTAGATGTGTCTAGATTCAGATTCGCCAAACTTTTTGATTTCTGGATTGTGGTGAAGTTTTGATTCTGTACGTTTTGCTGATTTGTTTTTGTTACGTTTGAGAAGTTTTGGTTGTGCAGCGTCTGGCTTGATGTAGATAAAATGGACGCATCTTGCAATGTGGAGAAAGAAGAAGCGATGGAAGCGGTTGGCGGGGTTTGGTACTCTGAGTTCCTTTTCGATAATGGAGGAGGAGTCACAGGAGGACCACAGATCTCTGCCAGCGTTTTGAACTTCAGCTCCAAGTTGTTTAGAAACTCGAGATCGTCGTCCAAGTCCAAGTCCAAAGAGTCAACTGATCCTGCCGGTGACCCCCGACCTTCGAACTCGTACACCAACAGACTGTCCCGTGAGCTGTCCTTCACACTGCTGGACTTCTGTAACTCAACAATAACACAGAAATGTCAAATTAAAATACTTAATAGAGCCCGACCGATATATCGGCTGGCCGATGTTATTGGCCGATATGGGCACCTGGAGACATATCGGCTATCGGCCGATATGCTTGCTGGTATGGGCCGATATTTCACGTAGGCATGTTATACCTCGTTATAAAGCTTAGACTCTGTACATTATGTTCATTTAATCCAATTTACAGACAGATAAATGTCCTAATATGTGGCTCTGCATCAGTATTTATCTGCGGTGTAATTTGTCTGTATCTGTGTCCGTACTGTCCCTGAACACACCCCCAGAGTCACGTCACTTCACTCACGTGCTGTTGTTTACACCCGCAGCGGTGCGCAACACTGAGATTATATTCTTTTTACGGACAATCGGTTTGAGTCTGGATTAAAAGGACTTTTATTAGTGCAGATGTGAGGAGGAGCCTGTGTGAGCTCTGAGTGTTGGAAATACATCGACTTTGAAGCTAGTTTTGGCTATTTGTTATTAGCGATTAGCTGCTGTAGCTCCCGCACATAAACAGGCTGTTTTCTATTGGCCTATTGTAAATTGACTACATTGGCCGTATATTTGTTACTGGACCTGCACTGATATGTAAATGAGCTGTGAATAGACGTGTGAATGATCCACATTTATGCATATAATTAATTACCGCGGTGCACACATTTTTTACGGCTAAAGGCTAATAGCGGTAGTTTATTTACTAGCTAGGAGTTATGGGTCAGTCGCGATTGAAGCGGCTCTTAGAGCCGGCTCTTTGAAGCGAACAATGGGAGCATGTTTCTTATTGGGAGCCGTGTTTTCTCTTTTTCTCACTTTTTCTCTTCAAGTCGCTTGTAGACCCGTAGTTTGACAGCAGCAGCGGCTGAAAACGAAACTTTCAGAAATCTGCGTGTACATAGGATTTAAAAAAAAAAAAGTGCATATTTGGCTGCAGTTCAGCATAAAATGAATAAACCAGGACTAATCTTGGGCTCGAGTGATGGAGAGACCAAGTCCCGACACTCAGTTCTGGTTTATTCCTGTTTTACACATGGTTTAAATCTGTTTTAGTCCTGGTTTAGTCCTTTTTCAGTCCTGGTTCAGTTTTGGTTTAGTCCTGCTTGCAACAAATCCATCTCAAGAGTCGCTTGGGAGCCGAAAGAGCCAGCTGCTTTAGTGAGCCGAGCCAAAAGAGCCGGCTCTCCAAAAAAAAAATCTGGAATACCCATCACTAGTAGCTAGAATGTGATGCAAAAATGCCATTAGGCCAATCTACTGTCTGTAAATATGATGTAAAGAGGCAGAATAACAATAAATGTTGCCTAAATAAACCCAATTTAGAATCCACTAGAGCCAAACCTAAGTTTTTTAAACAATTCAAGATTTACAGTGAATTTTTACATCACTAAATATATCGGTGATTATATCGGCTATCGGCAGCTCCAACTCCCATTATATCGGTTTCATATCGGCCACAACAAAATCCATATCGGTCGGGCTCTAATACTTAAATGTTATAACTGTTATTGAGTCAAGCTTTTTTTGCATCCCACTATTGAAAGTACTGCACGCTGCCCCAGGTTGGTCAAGTTGTGTACAGTTTTGTTTCATGTTTTTGTATATCCATGGAGAATTGTTGGGTGGAAGCATTGGACCATTTGACAGAATCTTAACCCAACTGTGAAGAGGGTTTGAATAGGGCCCAGGAGAGATTGATAAATAAGTGAGACATGCATGGATGACATCTAAAACCTCTTCAAGTTTGTTTTTTGATGAGGGACCAACATTATACAGTAACATAAAATAGTAGAAAACAAACAAAAAAAGATTTTGCATAATAATCCCCCTCTCAGACTTATCTATTTTATTGGAGGATCTGACAAAGTGAGGATCTTATTCTGCTTTTTGATTGGATTAAATGTTTGAGAACCAAAACAAATTCAGCCATGTTTTTGCAGTTGCTATAGGGTCATTCCATGCCATTTCAACAAATGGCCCATGCACTTCGATCTCAAAAATTTTTGAAAAAATTACCAAATAGTCCCTTACTATCATGTACCAACCCTGTAAAGTTTTAGTAATTTTCAAACAATACTTTTTAAGTTACAGCTCATTTAATGAGGGGAGTATGTGTCAATTTAAAAATTGAAGGAGCTTCATAAAATACATATGTTTGGTACCATATTAAAGGTCTTTTTCTGGTCTTTCAAGAAAAAAATATCCAAACTTTTTCATCACTACCCACATGCCATAAATTACATGTGAAAATCGGACCATGTTGCATTTTCTTGTTTTAACAGGACCCTCACACATAACCTATTTAAAATTTTCAACATTTGGTGATTTTTTTTTTAAACAGTCCTAGTACTTATCTTGATTCTCAAAAAAATTCAAGGGTCTTTTTCATTTTTAAGTTCATATAAAATGACAATGAGTTGAGATACCAAACTTTTGATCGATGTTATTTGAACACAGTGTAGCGGAGCACAAGCATACAAAATTTCAGCCCTGTATGTTTGATACTTACTGAGATATCGACCTATGAAAACAGGCGAGAAAAAATGACGTGCATTTTGGCCCGTAAATTGGCACATACTCCCCTCACTAAATGAGCTGTAACTTAAAAAGTAATGATCGAAAATGACTAAAACTTCACAGGGTTGGTACATGATAGTAAGGGACCAGCTGCTAATTTTTTCAAAGATTTTTTAAAAACATGATGCTTGAGATTTTCTGGAAATTTGATGAAATGGCGTGGAATCCATATTTGATTTTAAAATTTGAAACTTAATGTCGAAGAACACAAAAAGTATTTAATAGACCCACAAACTAAATTTAACAGTCATTGTGGCATGATTACCTTCCTATTCCTTGCATCTTTAACATTTTGTGCTTAAAAACCTTACTATTATATTTTGTGCCAAGTTACAAAATTTTTTAAAAAATACAGTGCAAAAAATCAATAAAAATCAATAGTTTGAAGCCAAAGCTGAATAATACCAGATAAACTCCTCTACCCACCTGTGCGTAGTATTGATGCAGAAGCACATCAGGCAGAGCGAAGTCCACCATGCTTTCCACTCCGAACCTCTCCTCAGCCATCACGGACAGGTCGCCCGACTCCCCAAAACTGCTCTTCCTCATACGGCCGCTGCCCATGACCCTGCCCCCCACCGCCTCGTACTCGTTCATATGGGAACCGAAAGCAGAGGTGGTGATGGCCTGGCCCACGGTTCGGACAGACTTCGTATTGATCATGTGCCGAGAAATACTTCCACCAGCTGCCATGAGGACTGGAGAGCTGAGCAGAGGGAACTCCTGAAGAAGAAATTACAAAACGTTGGCTTTGTATAACTGAGACTAGAGCTACCATCCTTAATCAATAATCAATAATCTCGGACTTCCGAGATTCGTAACCATGGTTGAGTGAGGGATTGGGATTTTACTTTGATGGCGCTCCACATACAAAATGTTCGCTGCAAACTTGGGATGATTTAGGCAGCCAAAGGTTTCCTTTTTCATCCTTCCCGTGGATCAATACTGCCCATCGCCTTCACCTTTCACTATTTTTTAATTCCGTTGGGAAGGGAAACAGTTTGAACAGGGGTTTGCAGTCACACAGATCTGATTCCCTTTTGCATCTATGAAGTTCGCAAACAAATTTCTTGAGCTGTTTTCCGCTGTTAGGACATCCAACAACCACACAATTAACGATGTCCGAATCCCAAAACTAAAATATGACAATATCAGAACCAGAAATAAAAGCGATATGGTTCAAAAGACTAGAAAAGTTCGGCTTTGTCAATAGACCCATCCCACTGTAAAATCAAACATGGCGGTTTGATGCTCACCTTTTCGGAAAATCTTTCCCAGTATGCATTGCGCAATGACCGGAAGTCCGAGATTTTTGATGTGTGTATTAGGCTGATCTTACCCTGTTGTATTCTCACTTTTCACCACTAGGTGTGATCTACATTATTGCTGTCTGATAGTGTGCCAGCTATGGTCTGAACAAACGCCAGGCGAGGTGGGAGGAGAGGGGGTAACAGGTTTCAAGTCTACCATTTGCCGGTGAAAAAAAATCAAATACACATAACTTTGCACATAACTTTAAGTGAGTAATGATGCTGCATGTATGAAAAATACTTGAAGCAAAACTCATGTATTTACATTTTTTGTTCTCTTATAAAAACATATAAGCATAACCCAATAATCATTTTGAAACAACAACACTGAAACATGTTTTACTATAACTTTCATCCAGATTTTTATGGGATATTGTAGCAAATGTTACAGTCTTTTAACGGACCACACAGAAGAGTTTGTTGTCTGATTTAAAAGTGAAGCATATTTAATATATATATTTTATATATGATTTAAACATAAAAAAAATTAAATTAAAATTTTTAAACATTTACCAAAAAATACTAAATAAGATATCCAATTATGTTTACATCTAATGTCAACAGCATCCAATTTATACCTTGCTACCTTAAATTTTCAGATTTATATGTGCCAAATTACACAATGAAAAACTTGTTATATATATATATTTTTTTTAAATATAAATTTCTATAAGTAAACTCTATAAGAAAATTTAAGTCTTTTCCCCATTTACCTGCAGTGTGTTGCCTTTAACTGTCACAAAAGAACACACCAGGATGGCAAACATTTAGCAGGGTCTGGCCTGCAGGGGGGGCTGTTGTTGCACAAAAGCCAATCAGAGTTGGTTGATGGAAAGTTGTGTGCCACCAAATCCAAATCTTATTTCAGTTACTCATCAGAAACCCATTTATACGCATGCAGAACATGTAAAATCCACAGAAAAGCTCCATCTGGCCCTGCTTTTTGAGGAAACGGTAAATAAATAAATTAAATAAAAACTAAAGAGTATACAGTACTGACCCTGTCTTCTCCTTGGCCCTCGGTGTGGTAGACCATGAGGTGCTCTTCGGTGAGAAAGGGGATGTCTGAGAATGCACCAGGTCCTTTTCCAAATCTGCAGGTCATCAGCATAACAGCAGCAACTGAGAACACAACATGAAAATCAGACACCGTTGTTTACAGGATTTATGGCCTTTAATAATCAAATATCTTCTACACAGATGACCGGGAAGGCAGAACTGTTGTGAATTTCACGTGTCTAATGTATTTGGTATGACCAGGTAAATATTAATCTAATGTAATTGTCCATATTTTGTATTTATTTATTTAATGAGACAGGGACAGTGCACAATTTACTTTAACCTTAACAGGAGACATGCTTTGTATCAGGTTGTAGCACCGGTGCTAATTTCCACCTGTAGTCCCTGGGCAGATTCATTGAGTGATTGTATTTAATTGACCTTAACTATCAACTGTTCTTCCTGGAGACCTATGTAGCATGTTTTGGGTTTTGTATAAATGATATCACATATATCTCTAGAAGTGTTTTAATTTGGAAAATAAATAATTATAATCACATGAGAGCAGATTCAAATGGACTCTTTATGCTAAAACTCTGAGCAGCTTTTTCAGTATGGATGGGCCTATAGAGAAGCTCCCACTCAGCTTTTTCACTTTATTTCTCCCCCCCGCCGGTACGTCTGTTTCTGATGGCTACTAACTTGCACTTCTATTGCGGTAGGCACTTCTAATTTAGTGGAAATCTCATTCATTTAAATAGATCACGATCTCTGGTTGGCGTGACAGTGACTTTGTCGTCTTGAGAGAACTTACTGTTTTGCCAAAGTACGCCAAATCAGACAACCCATTTTTTTTGGTTTTGATTGTTGATTTTTGTGCTTGTTTTTGTCATTTTGTGGTTGCAGTCTTTGAAGCGGCATAATTTGCTCAGTATGCCTACTTGTAGTGTACTGCACTAAAGATAGCTGCCCAATGATTTATCGACCACATGATATATCAGCCTATCAGCCTTAAAACTCCAGCACAGGCTAGATGGGTAACCTGCAGTCTAAAAATTCTACATTTTAGTGCAAATAGATAAGTTCCCTCTGCTCAAATGTGACTACAGCTCTCTTATTTGTGGTGAAAAAGGGCTGTCGATGAGTTTTTAGTACATTTATATGACATATTTTTTGGGGAAAAAATCTAAATTGGCCATACATATTTGCCCAGAAATAACGGCATTAGTTGCTTTGAATTCAAAACAATCGGTATTGGCATTGGCCATGAAAAAAAAAAAAAGTGTCACTTTCTTTTCTTTATATAGCGCATTGTAAAATCTTGTTACTCACTAAACAGAGCGATCAGACCCAGGCTCAGCCCAGTCACCACTCCTCCCATCGCGGCCACAGAGCTCTTCTGTGTGCCCTTCTGCCCCAGGACAGTGCCCGGGCTGCAGCTCTCGCCCCCCTCACACGAGCACACATGCACCTCCAGGGTCTGGGGCTCCGGACAGTACATGCCCTGCGCGTCATACACCTCCACCACCACCTCGTACACCCCGGGCCACAGAGGGGACAGCGTGCGCAGGTTGGCATGGATCCCTTTAGCAAGAGAGATGTTTAGTTAGTTTTGTTTTTTGTTGAAAATGAACTGGAACGCTACCTGCTTGACTCTATGGAGATGTTAATGCTATGACTAAAATGTTCTGCAGTGTGGTCTTAAACTTATCTATGTAGGTTTTATTTCATTAAGTCTGGGTTACACTAATGATTACACCTTGAGGATCAAAAGAGAAAACGTATGTATACTCGGGGTGTAATGGTACATGTATTCGTGCCGAACCGTTTCAGTGCGGGATGTTTGGTTCAGAGCACGTGCACGAGTGAGTTTGCACAATTTCTGTGTGTTTACATTCCGCCACAACATGTACAGCTACACTCAAGGCTCAGTTCTTTTAATATTGGAAGGAAGTTGTCTGTGATTGGGGTAGCAGTGTTTCCTGCTGAGCGTTATAGTTAGGGCGGCCACCTTCACAACAATTGCCCCCACCTTGACTACGTCCCTCCAAACCACCTGAATCCTTGCAAAACTACGGTCATTGCACCCTGGTCCACACTCTCTCCTTTTGCTGGTACGGAATCCTTCCCGTTTATATAATGTTAAAACAAATTGTTGGTTTAATAAAAACACAAACAACAAGCAAATGGTTTTGCACTGTACTGAAAATGAACCGAACTGTGACCTCAACACCGAGGTACATACTGAACCATGATTTTTGTGTACTGTTACACCCCTATACAATATATATAATATCAATAATTACTTAGTGATAAATTATATCACCATTACTTAAACAAACACTGTAATGAAACTTAATTTTTATTCGTTTTAAGAAAAAGTTGTACATCTCCAGGTTTACCACGGTGGAACATGCAGTGACATGGAAGATTCCAGTAATACAAGTAACATCCTCAAGGGGGCATCAAAGTAACAAAAAACAGTGTTTGTTACCTTTGTGAGACAATAATGGTTTGACAAAATGTGACTATTTTTACTGAGATTGCAGGACGTTTCGTGTTAAAACTGCATAACGCACAGGTCGCATGCCGTTGAATCCTTACTTAAAAGGGTCCATATGGTGCTGTTTCCTCATCAAAAACATACCTAAAGTTGTGTTTTGTTTCGTTCACACATGTTTAACACACAAACCCTGCATATTTAGGCTGAATTCTTTGCTCAAGCAGAAGACGTAGACAGTTCAATAAGGTAGAAACACTCAAACATGTGTGAATGAAACAAAACACAACTCCATGTATACTTTTGAGGAGGTACCAACATTATAACACGACTCATTAAGTATATTTTGCATAATATCAGACTTTTAAGTTTTGAGATTTTTCCAGCTCATGTATCACTAATAAAAGTACTCTTACCATCTATGCGTTCGAGCTCCCAGTCCCCTCTGGTCTTCTTTGGAACCAGTTTGAAGGTGAAAGGGGGTCCATTGGGGTCTCCATCCTGGTCCTGCCCTGTGATCTTCACCACCTCGACGTCTGTGCAGATGTGCTCCAGTGTGCTGGTCAGCGTCGGGCAGTTATCATTGGTGTCCTTCACCTGCAGAGCTATGGTTCCTGTGGCAGTCTTTGAGGAGATCTCTGGACCAATCACAACACATGATATGATAGGTCAGCTTTAAAAAATAAAATAAAATCCAGACCACTATGTACAAAAGTGAAGTACAAGTATAGATAGATAGAAGTATAAATATAAAGTGTAATAATATTAGTGACTAACTCAGTAGTTGTGTGCGTTCAGTACACTTTAGTGTTAAAATGAACTGGTACTGAAACCGTCCAGTCCTCAATGGCCATAGTTATCCCGCCACTAAAAACAGTCTTACCCAGTCCACAAAACACCCGAAGCAAATCTTTTATTACGCCAAACTGTCGATCTGAATGTTTGTGTTGACAGAATAATTTTAGAAGTGAAACTGATCTTGCATCGCATGAATTGTCGCATGTTGAGGGACTATTTTCTACGTAATATCAGTCCACCGCTGCCATGGTTCCATCAGGAAATTGCTGCTGCTGCTCAGACATAAATCCTTCAAATGCAATTTTTTTTTACTTCTAAAATTATTCTATCTATGTTGGCGTTATAATTGTTTTGCTTCGGGTGTTTTGTGGAGTGGGTAAGACTGTTTTTAGTGGCAGGATAACTATGGCCATTGACATGCACTAGTCTAGCACCAGTGACCTCTGCAAATACAAGGACTGGATGGAATATTTAAAAAAGTGTCTCCACACTGTCTCCAACACTCTGGCTCACTAGGAAATGAGGACCTATGTCCAAAATTCTGCACTGTCCCTTTAAGACAAAGTAAGAGCTCATTAGTCTCGAGTTGCATACACCTCATCCAAAACTTCAAGTAGCAACAGGAAATATTTTACACTTGATTTGAATATCAAAAGTATAAAAACAAGCTCAATAGCGGAGGTGAGTAGTACTCAGTTACATTTATTTGAGTAACTTTTTAAAGAAATGTCACTTTTCAGTTACTCCTCCCAAGTAATCTTGAGTAAAGATTTTTGTTAGTCTTCCTCAGATATTATGCAGTTTTTCTTATTTTTCTGTCTATCCTTTGAAAATACCAGATAGTGCATTGTTGTGTTGTGTTGTTAAGTCCTTCAGATTACATTAACTTCAAACCATAAATCAGGCGTTACTCTTATTGAGTAGTGGTTTCCCCAAATACTTTTTTACTCTTACATGAGTAATTTCTTGGATAATTACTTTGCACCACTACTTTAATTAAATTATTTTGAAGTAAAATTACTCTTAATTGAGGCAGATTTTTGACTTGCTCTCCTCTGTTTAATGTACCTCAACAGCGTCGGCCTGCGTCGGTTCTGGAAGTAAATTTTCCATAAATTTTCCCAAAGACTTTTTGAAGAATTCTTATATTAAAGTGTAATATCCATAATGCCATTGCTTTAAATCCAAAAAGTACATTTAAAAAGCAAGATTCTGCAATTGTTTTTCATAACTTAGTGCTTTATAAAGTTTCAGGTATTATCGGTAAAATTACAGGGCTTGAGGTCATTAGTTACCAGCTTTCAAACTTTTAATATGCATTTTTTTCAGAATGTCTGTGAGGAAAAAATATGAGAAATTTACTTTTGGAACTGGAGTGTGGGTGGTCACTATTGAACTCTATATGACCTGAATAGAGCCTACTAAATATACCCTAAACACACCCTTTGTCATGGCGAGGATTTTGGCGATGTAAGTCCCATTGACGACAAAAGGAGACTCTCGGTCCGGTGCTCTCAGGAGTTTGATTTCTGCCGTGTCAGGGTCGATCAGCAGCAGGTTCTCTGGGTCTGAACCTTTGGCATAACTGTGAAGAGAAGACATGGATCACAGAACTGACAGAGGCTACTTCGACATGCACACCGGAACATTTAAACTTATTTAAAGAACACCTATTGTGCTTGAACCTGCGGTGTAGTTATAATCTATGACACCTTTGGATCATCAAATCGCAATATTCATCAAAAACTGTTTAATAAATGAAAACCAGTTGGAAATGGGAAACAAGGCAGCATGGTAAAAGAATATTGATTTTGCTTAATAAGTCTGGTTTAAAGTGCACCTGCCAGGTTAAACTACTCATTTCTTATCATTAACCTCATTAAATTTAAGTTTTCACAAAAAAAGGAGAGGGATTAAATGACATCACCGCTTAAATGTAATTGTTTTAACATGTCCTCGTACAAATTTGAATATAAGTTGGACCTGGAATGTCACAAGTTGTTGTAGAGAAAGCACATCATTCATTTGGAAGCCCTTTGGCTTTATTGCAAACTGGTTTTAGTCATAGGATCTGGCAACCCAAAGTGAAGTGCTCATTCTGCTTTGTGACACTGAGTAATTGTATTGAGAACCAAAGTGTAAAAAGTAAACACAAGCTACCTTTCCCAAATTCTAAAGTTTTAGAATGGTTAATGTTTAAACCTGCTGATTGTTATCAGTATAATCAATATTTGACTGAACATTTCCTTCATATCTGATGATTTTGTGAAACATTTAAGACATTGTATTGTGCTTGTGGCTGCAATATAGTTATAATTTATGACACAATTTGGACTTAAATTCGCAATACTGTTCTAAAATAACTGAATAAAAGAAACAAATCCACTGACTTCCACATTAGAAAACTGTGGGGCAATAAACTTCACCACAACAAAGAGGCGTGCAGTTCTGTGGACAGCTGCACATCATGTAAGAGTACACAGGATTACCACAGTCATGTCATTTTCCAGGCCTGGAAAAAGTCATGGAATCTTGTAAATTCAATGAAAGTTTTGGAAAAGTCATGGACTTTTAATATCTTTCACGCAACTACAGCTTTCTGTTAAATTATCCTTAGGCTTTTATGATTATTTCTGAACGTCTGCACCTTTTGTTTAACAGAGACGACAATAAATGCACTGACAGTATTTTGAACGTTAAAAACTATAATACCAAACCATAAACTGAGTGGAAAGGATTCACAGTTCAGATTTAGTCCTAAAAGTCTGATCAATTCTACACATGTAGGTGCTGTAAAATCATGGAAAATTCACTTTAGGTCATGAAAAAGTGATGGAAAAGTTTTGAAATTTTGTCAGTGAAAAAGAGGGGGAACCCTGAATATTGCTTAAATGTCTGTTTAAGACTGCCGAATCCTATCACCAAGAAAATAAAATTGTAGTACAAAGTAAGTACAGAGCAGTGGGCTTGTACCGGTGGCAGTGAAAATGGGTGATTGGAGCAATGACATCTTGAATACAGGACTATAAAGACGCATGAATCACAAAATACAACTTCAAGAGGGTAAATGAGTTGGTGAAGCAACTATAAAACTAAAAAACATCAATTTTACATAGTAGGTCCGCTTTAATAAATTCCCACAAATAATACCATAAAATTTAATCTAGTAGAATTACAGTAAAAGCACAGCTGACCAATCGTTAAGAAGAAGGAAGCTTTCTTACGTGACATTATCAGATGGTTTTCCAGTGTCTTTGTCAATGGCGGGGTAAACAGCTATGACCCCATCTGGCAGCTCATCTGGGTTCTCGGACACAGGAATATCCAGGACCTCCGGAGTGAATGCAGCTCCCTCTGGCTCATCCTGCACCGCGATGTTCACAGCATACACTTTACCTAAATATGCACACAGATATACACTCTGTTTTAGTTTTAGTATTGCACTTTTGAAACACTCTTAGATACAGATCATAAAATTAAAGTCCATATGACATTTTTTCACTTTTCCTGTTTATTATTGCTTGATTTTGTGGGATAGTACTTGTGGTGTGGTTAAGAGTCACTTAAGAGGCAATTTGTAGGAGAAAAAGTTGTAATAATCATAGTCTAACCTTTTGGTCTTTTCTTCTTTTTCTTCTTCGGTCGTTTTGGTCTTGGCTTTCCTCCGGCTCCAACCCCTGCCCCAAGTCCAAGATCTGGTCCAGGTGCGCCTGGCCCCACCCCTCCCGCTGGCCCTGCGCCTCCCGCTGGCGCCGCCCCTCCTCCTGCTGCTGGCGCCGCCCCTCCTCCTGCTGCTGGCGCCGCCCCTCCTCCTCCCGCTGGCCCAGGCCCTCCTCCTGCTCCCACTCCCAGACCTACTCCAACATCAGCGTCCAAATCTAAGTCTAAATCCAGATCACCCCCACCCTCGCCCTCTCCTCCTCCATCCAAGTCCATCCCCAAATCCAAGTCCATCCCCAAATCCAAGTCCATCCCCAAGTCCAGGTCCAGATCAGCATCGGCTCCGAGCCCTGGGTTCACCGGCGGAGCCACATTAGCCACAACAACACCAAGCTGGATGTCCGGGTTCAGTTCAAAGTTCACAGGCTGCACGGAAACAGAACATAAGATGCATATAGTAAATAGATCTGTTTTTTTCCCCCTGAACCTCGGTGTAACAAAGTTCATGCTGTAGAATCCATCTGGAAGGAGCAACACACGGTACATATGGAAGACACCAAATATATGAAGCAAGATACATGAATTGAAAAGTGAAATAACTCATGACTAAAAATAGAAATAGAATAGAAATAACTTTTTTTTTTATATTTTATATTGGAATACTCAAAGTAGTTACCCTTTGCAGCAAACCTTTGGCCATTTCTCAATGGACTTGTTCATAAAGTTCCTTGTCTTTACCTCACAGATGTGCCGTATCAGGGTCAAAAATGGTCAAAAGTGAATACCAGGGTTTAAAAATGGTTCAATAACAATCATCATAAGCTTACCTTCTCCAACATGAGGACGCCTTCGTTGGTGTTGGGGTCAGTTTCTATGCTAAAGATCTTGTCTTCATTTCCAGTAACAATGTCGAAGACAGCAAGCCAGTTGTCTGTGGGCTCCAGATCCTTGTCCAAAGCTTTAATTCTCATCACCTCCACATGGGCTTTGTTCTCCACAATCTGGGCTTCATACTGCAAACAGCATTATTATATTCATTTAGTGTATCAGTAAAATATCCATGTTATGTTCGAATCTAAGGTCGTTTTCACACTGTCACGAGTTAGGTCAACATAAAAGAGCATCTGCTCTGAGAGCAGTGAGCTTGAAACAGGAGCAGCTCCACTTGCACTCTGGAGCAGGGCCAGTGCGGTGTGAACGTGATCAACCTCAGACTGACCTGCGCTGTCTATGGTGCAAGTATCTGTGCTTTAAATTGGGCAAAAAAAAAGCTATAGTTATATAAATGGGCTGCTGTTGTTTGTTGCTACATGTTTTTCTGACAGTTTTAATCATCCTCCTGCTCCTGTCTGCACAGGTGAGTCTGGGTCTGTTCACTGTCTGTGTGTTAATGTAAAAGATTTCCCTGCTGTCACCAGCACAGCGTGTACAGTCCTCACAGTGTATTGAGCCTCAGGTGAAAGATCACTGTGTACAGTGTCAGTGAGAGCAGGCTTGTGTATTCACAGGGCTCTGTCTGTCCTCTTGAAGTGTGTGGTCATGGAAATAAATCTAACGATCAGCTGATGGACTCTCATGTGGCTCATGGTGTAGATTTGGGGTGAATGATGCACAGTGTGTCTGAACAAGACCGATCCAAAAATGAAGTAAACAGAAGTAAATGTAGAGCACACTGGGGTCATCCAGAGAGTGCACTAACATGTGTGAAAGTGACCTCAGTCTTCACTTTCCCAATGCATTCCAAACATGCCAATTCTTCACTGTAATGTGTATGAGCACGTTTTACAACTTTCAGGGGGCAAAGCAGAGTCATGCTTGATACTCCTAGTCAGCTAACAGTGTATAAAATACATTTATAATAGATGTAGAAATGCCCACTAAAACCTGCTTTCACAATATAATGTACGAGGGCAAAATTACTTCTCTTTTTTTTTTTTAAAAAAAGGGAGGTTGTCGGGCGTAGTCCCTTTAAACATTGCAACAGTTTAATTTGCAATGTGTTACATGTGATTATGTCAACCATTGTCTTGTACTATTTACCGTGTCCTTCTCCAGAGTGGGGATGTTGTCATTGATGTCCAGGACTCTGATTTCGATTGTACCCGTTCCAGATCTACCTTTGGGATCTCCGGCCATGTCCACTCCTTTAATTGTGAGAGTGTAGTTGTCTTGCCTCTGTACCAAGAATATGAACCATTGAGAATTATTTGAAGGTCCGTTCATATTACTTATCTACTAGATCTTTGTCCAATTTTACCTCTCTGTCCAGCCAGTCTTCTTTGATGTAGATAGCACCAGTGCCTTCATCAATGTAAAACAGAGGTTTGTCATCTGGGGGCTCCTGCTTGATAATGGTGTAGTTGATCTTAGCGTTAAGAGTTCCAGGTTTATCTGTATCATTTGCTGCAAATACAGTCACCAGAGTGCCTGTAGAAACACAAAACATATGTATTAATGTTGCATTACCATGCTTAAAAAAGGTATATAAGGTTCATATTGGTTGCTATTATATTTTTTGTTTTTTACAGGTTTCATTCATATCGTCTGAACAACTTTTGCTTAACTTAATTTCTCAAGGTGTACCACAAGGTTCTGTACTTGGCCCCATACTTTTTAGAAATCACTTTTCAAGCAGTCCCTGTGACACCAGCATTGTAGAATCTCTCCCAAGTCCTTTGTCTGTCTTCATCTTCAATTCAGTATCAATAACACAATGAGAAAGTTTGGAAATCTGACACTCAAAATGGGTGTGATCCTGGACTCAACCTCATTTTAAACCCCTACATCAAAATCAGTGACTGAAACCTGCCTTCTGCTACCTTTTGCAATCCTGCCTCAACACCCTCTTACACTTACAAGTCCCTCCACACTCAGGCCCCTCAGAACCTCTCAGATCTGCTGCCAGTTTTGGGAAGAATGCTTTGTTACATTGTCCAATCAGAGTACTGTATGCTGAATACTTAAAATACTTTCGCATTGCATTACAGTATTACATTGCATTGTAATTATGTGGAAAAAATGTGTTCCCTTGATTTTAGGAAAGTAACTGTGTTCTGAATACCACCAAATGAAAAAGTAATTGTACACCGTAGACTTGAATGTTCCATTGTATGGCATTAAATGTATATATCCCCATGGAGACAAGTAAGTGACGCTACAAAACAAGGGCGTAGATTTGCATAGGGACGGCGGGGATATGTCACAACCATATCTTACCATACTTACTTACTACTTACTTAATGCTTACTTTTTAATAAACAAAAATATAAATTTATTCAGATATTTTTCCAGACTAAATTCAAAGCATTAATTTAACACGGTTTAGTTGACATTTTGTTCTGAGATGTATTAAGTGATATGATGACAGGGTTACTCCTGACGCTATTTCATTGGCTGCAACAGAGTGATGTCATTAGTGAAGCCAGGAGCCTAAACTGGGGAAGCGGCAGGACAGGACCCGCACCTGAAGACGGCGGCTTGAGCAGGCGTGAGTGAAGACGCTGCACCAAACTTTGAAAAACTTTTCAAAAGGAATTTACTTGGCTTCATCTTCAATTAAACTTTACTTATAATGAGTCGCTGCGGAAAAAGAGCGACTATCACCACAAGTGCACCTCCCAAACAGAACCCTACTCGTGCGCTGTTAGCAGCCAGACTCTATTGACAATATTCCATGGAAAAATGTACAGACATTACCTCACAAATATCTCATCACCAGCAAGCAAAGGGAAATCTGCTACAAATTTCTACATCGCTGTTATCCAATAAAGAATCATCTTAGAAGGGCAATGGACGCGAACTGTACATTTTGCGAACTGAAAAATGAAACCACCTCTCACTTATTTTGGACCTGCCCAGACTCTGTGTATTTTTGGAAAGATTGGAAAGTGTTTATTGTAATGTGTGAGCTACTGTGTCCAAATTATTTTCCATTGTGGATCAATAAAGTGTGACTAAGTCTAAGTTTGATTCTAATAAATGGGATAAAAGCAAGTCAGATAAGTTCACACCATAACACCTCCTTGTAGACAAACATATGACAATCCCCCTACCATAAAAATTTGTATACCTTTAATATCTAATATATAAAATAATTATAATATATGTTGTCATGCTCTGAAACATTACAAAATCAGATAAGACGTTCTATGGCAACATCCTAAGGAGTGGCAGATCAGAAACCGTGATTAACTGAAAGATACAGTCACAAAAGCCTCAGGGGAACATTACTAATTTAATGCACAACTCAAACATTCACATCAGAAAGTGTAATCAAGTCAGTATAAGCTTCAAGGCACTGTTTTGTGAAATTAAATGCTTTAGTAAAGGGAAAATATTACTTTTTATGGCTTTTAACCATGTTGGAATGAAAACTACTTTGAGGTTATGAGTTCCATTCACTCTCAAAACAAAACAAAAAACAAAAAACTAACGCAGCGTACTTGATTTTGACAGTCTAAAAACAAACAAAAAACAGAACAACTTCATTCATAAAGTGTTTGCAGCAGTCCAAAACAGTTCTGCATTCCTAAAATCGTAATTATTCACTGCTGTTGATATACAGTACCTAGTTTATAAATGCAATTCGCAACTTCCAAAGGAGGCCAGAACAAACTTGGAGCAACCTCAGAGATAGAAAATTAAGTTATAGCTGTCCATTCATCCATACTTTTTTTTTTTCTCAATATAAATATATGTAACGATATCAGAATCCCTCTATACGATATTTTCACGATATGTATCTCACGGGTCGATATTTATTGCAATACTTTGTGGAGGTTAACAAATTTGAATATAGTGCTTTTTCCTTTTAAAATCCTTGGAAAAGCCATAAAAAGCCTTCAGTACTTTTATAATATGAAGTTTTTAATCAGTTATTTCTTCACGTAGTCTGCACTGACAATAACAAAGAATCATCGTCTAAGTAGTTCCCTCTGTTTTTTAGCTGCTGCTCCACCAAGGCGAGGCAAGGTTATTTGTACGGCACAATTCATACACAAAGTAAATCAAAGTGCTTTACAGAATAAGAAAGACATTAGAATCACCAAAACTATTAATTTAAGAAAAGAGATGCGTAATTCGATACAAGCCATTCTTGCCAGTTCACGGAGACTAAAAATGCTTTAGAATTGGATGCACACTGCAAAAAAAACAACAAAACAAAACAAAATCTAGCCAAGTTAAGATCGCTTGAATTAAGAAAGTTTTATCCTGAGTTCTGTAAATTTCACATGACTAAATTTGGAACAAGACTTTTTGTACTTAAACATTATGAAATATGAAAATACATCTTGCTACACTTAAAATAAGAAAAACAACTTTTTGCACTTAATTCAATCAAAATTTGATTTTGTTTCTTTTTTTTAAGTAAAACACACTGATTCCAGTGATAGATAATTTTACTTGTCAAGTTGAATCGACTCAAATAAAGTAAAATGATCTTAATACAAGTCATTTAAATTCAGCTAGATATTGTGTTTTTTTTCCAGTGCAGGCAGACACAGCGGTCTCATTTTGACTTATAAAGGGGTTCAGTGCAGAAGAGGAGCATGAGAATCAAGTTGAACAAGTTTAAAAGAACACATTTTGTGCTTGAGCCTGCATATACTTCTAATCTATGACACTCATGGATCATTATGTTATTATTTGCACATTTCAAATCTCACAATTTATCTCAAACTACTCAAATCAGCTGACTTCTGCATTAGAAAACTGTGGTGCCCAGTGGGAGCTGACGTCACTGAAAACATCACATCAACAAAAAGCTTCTTCTGTGAACAGCTGCACGTCGCATTAGTGAGCGGTGGATCTTTTTTCATTTGTATCAAAATTACTACGCAATGTTGCTCCTACGTGTATCACAAATTAAGAAAATAAAGTTGGAGAACGAAGTAAGTACAGAGCAGCGGGCGTGTGCCAGTAGGACGGTGAAAATGGGGGTTGATCAGTAAAATTAAGTCTTGAGAATAAGCAATTAAAGATTACTCAAACACACATAAATCATTAAAAATACAACTTTGAAAGGGGAAATGACTATAACATGGTTAAAAGTGCTGAAAAGTCGATCTAATAAGTCTGCTTTAAACAAATGTTCTCAAACCCTCTCAAGCCCCTGCACAGCTGACCTGCAGGGCTGCTCTCGTTCACAGACACTGGGGGCACGACGGGGAACACTGGGGGGTTGTCGTTCTCATCCTCCACTTCAAATATCAGGTCGATCTTCTTCTCTGCTATGGTGCCGTTATGAAAGTGGGCTATTCCAGTGAGCTGCAGGAGAGAAGCAAGAAAGGATGTGTTACTCATTAGTCCTCATTTGTGATTTGAGTATTAAAAGAGCAATACTGGGCCATCCACTGAATTCCAGTACATGGTTGGGTTTGTCAAGCCTGTTGCATAGTAATGGGTACAACTGTACTTCTGTGTGAAGTCTTTAAAATAATTTTGTTACTTCAGTCCTATGAGAGTCCATCAGGTGACGGCCTGTGCCCCATAGACACCCAAGCACACAGTTACTTCCCTGATACCATCCATGATTTGTTTGTTTTTTCCCTTGTCATTGAGAATGATGTCCATATGTAACAACAGAGAAATATGCTCTGAAGTGTACAGTTCTGCTTGGATGTGATGATTGTTTATGTCGACCTAACCACTGCTAGTTTGAAAATGAACTGTTTTGTTGACAGGGGCCACAGTGACAGACTGGGCTGCCTCCATAGACTGTATAAAGAAGCTCTGGTTAATTTTCCCTTAATAAATGAATAGTTATTCTGTGAACACGTGGTCTCATGTGTTCATAGGCAGAACAGCACAGCAGAGCTCTGGTCCTCTTGTGAGCGTCGCACACTGAAGCTGCACTTGGACCGGGTGTAGTCTGAGTGAGGCCTAAGGGAGTGTGACGACACCCATAGTGTTCACCTCCAGTCAAATGAAGCTCATCGAGGCTGGAAATTATAGGGTAAATTTATGTTAACATATAATCACATAGGTGTGTATGTATGGTATGAGATAGATTTGTAACATTGATGAATTGTCTTCAAGGCCAATTCCTTATTGATTATTAATTATGATTTGTTGTTACAAAATGATTATATATGTTAGCATACCTCATAGTCTCTTGCTAACTTAACGTCAGGTAAAGCTACAACACTGCAGTGGATGTCTGTGTATGTGAATTGGTAGGCTGTTTGTGGATCTATCTGCATTTGTGGATTTCTCAAAAATACGTCATAGAGGAAATCTGTGAATTTGTGTAATTGGTGATCCACGAGTGTGAATCACATTTTACAAACAGAATCTACAGTTTTACAAATGCATTTTGTAAAACAGAATTTTTTTTTTTTTACAAAAAAGGTATTTACAAATACACATCTAATTCTAAAGACCAAAATACAATTTACAAATATTAAATTTGCATTGGTGGATATCAAAATGTACAGTTCAAAGACTATAGATCACCCTCTGTGCATTTATGAATATTAATGAGACAAAAGTAATCCCATAAAAATTTGGTATATTCAGTTTGTGTTCCATACTCACCACATACATCTCTTTCTTCTCTCGGTCTAGAGTCCCACGGATGTACACATGCCCCGTGGTGTCATCCACAAAGAACTGGTTGTAGGGCTTTTTGTCTGCGCCTGCTCCATGCAGCGTGTAGAACACCGGCGCATGCTCATCCATGTCCGAGCGGATCTGAAACAACAAGGCAAGGGACAAATAATGACTGTTTGCAATATGGCTTTATGGATTTATTCAGGCCTGTCACAATAATTACTAAATCCACTTATCGTTCCACTCCTGGAATTGCTGATCTCTACTGAACAAAAGGTAAAAGGTCGCTGTGAAGTTGAAAACTACTACTTCATGACATCAGAAGGTGAAACAGAGCATTTTGAGCTCTGGAGATGTAGATATCTTAAGGTAATCTTCAGGTAACAACATTCTAACATGGCTAAAAGCTCACAGGACTCAATTTTGCATTCAGTGATACTGTCTATTTAAAATGGTTTACTGGGATTATCCTGCACTATTTAAGGCTACATTTATATGATGACGGTCTGAACAGAAGACGCAAAAATGACTTCGCGTCTTCACTTTTTATTCTGTGTTTAGACAAGAGTTTTTGGGAGAAAACCTGCATGCATACGGTGATGCAAATGTGTGTGGAATTCGATTGGGTATGCATGCCAGGAGGCTCGGTGATGCTGTGAGACACTATCGCACAACACCACTATGTCTGCGAGCATGTGAGGAATCTTCCTTCTTCTCACCTGCACCGCAAAAAGCAAAACAATCATGGCTACCGGTAGCAAGAAGAACTTTATGTGGTCATGGAAATGATCTGACATGTTTGTTTCTGTGTACTGTATGTATGTGACGTAAACGTGTACGTGACGTGAGCAGATCTGACCAGAGTTTTGCATCTTGGGCAGTGTAGACGGAAACACTATGGCGGAGCGTATTCAACTTTTCCTCTCTGGAGTGTGGTTTTAGATTTAGGTGTTTTTAAGCCCCAAAAACATCATCACCGTCTAAATGAAAGGCACTTCCAATGAAATATTTTGCAGTTTTTACCTTCGAGCGTTCTCGTTTAAACAGGCCCTTAATTATGTCAAGAGGTTAACTGGCATTTTGTGTGTTCTGGAAAAAGTCCGAGGCATAAAGTTGTTTCAGTATTATCATTTGGCGCAGTATTTATCTGTGGCAATATATACAGCCTCTAGATTTCTTATTGTGACGGGCCTTAGTCTGTTGATAGTCTAAAACTGATGCATGAAAGTTAGATAAAAGTGTGAAGTGTGAACTCAAATGAGCATGAATTATTTTTGTGGGTTCTGACAGATTTGGCCTCTGTACAACGCACACATTCACACACACATACACACACCCACACAGTGAATTATGTTACTGTACAGAGGCCAAATCTGCTCATTTGCAAGGTGACACTCTGGTGACAGTGTGGTGATACAGTGCACTGATTCAGGTCTGTTCTGGTTGGGTTCGGGACCCCAGGCAAAACAGGTAGTTAGGTAATGATATAACTGTCATCCGTAATTCACAAGTATTGAAAGTTTCATTGCATATCAATAAATACTGCACGTGAAATTACTTGAGAATGGTTGTGGTTTTAATGGTTTTTTTTTTTTTGTTTAGTCCCAGCTCAGACTTGTATGCTGTTGTTGAGTCCTTGAGCAAGACACTTCATCTTCCTTTTCGAAGAAAGAACTGTGCATGCGTGAGGTGCATCCACATCTCTGACAGCCAGTCATAGAGGAGTGACTCAGTGAATGAATAATGCAACATACATTTAGAATATTAAAGTATGACCTCATAGCTGAAGGCATTTTTTGGCCAAATAGATTTTTCTGCCTCATTCTGCATCGATAAATGTGATTGGCTCTGCCCATGGCCAATCAGAAAGACTTTTACAAACAAAAAACTCAAACCACCCCAATCAGACCTAGGTATATTTTCTGGATATCCACGAAAACTTTGAAATTACACTATGAGACTATAAGGTTGATTTGAATTTAAGGTATATTAGAAATTTATGGAGCTCACACCCCCTATTTCTGGGTTTCAAATGACATTGCAACATTTTATAGGTCAATAATATTTAATATAATACACACAGTTCTTGAGGCTGTTCATTTACCTTTTAAATATTTCATGGAAAAATACAATGTTATCAAAACAGGGAGAACTGGCTCTCCCCCCCACCTGGGACTATGAGAATCTAATTTTAGAACCTGAAAATCACTTACTGATACTTAAACGTCTGTATATGGAGTTTGGTATGACTGTAGTCCTGTATCTCCCACTGTGTGATACTGTGTGACATCACTCTGGGGTGTGGGGATGCAACATGCATGTCTATGCTGGTATGTTCAGCAGTTGCCTTGGTGGCGTAATGCAAACACAGCCTAACTGTTGAAGTGTTTAAATTGTTTGAAAACTCAAGAAAAAATATAACATGGAGTTAATCAACACATGTTTGGGAGCTTGTGTTGTTTTTAGAAAATTGTCAAATTTTTATATAGGGTCATTCCACGCCATTTCATCAAATTTCCAGAAAATCTCACGCATCATGTTTTTTAAAAATTTTGAAAAAATGACCAGCTGCTTTTAGTGATTTTCGATCATTACTTTTTAAGTTACAGCTCATTTTAGGAGTGGAGTATGTGTCAATTTAGGGGCCCAAAATCTTGTCATTTTTTCTCGGCTGTTTTCACAGGTCGATATCTCCATAAGTATCACACACAGAGGGCTGACATTTTGTAAACTTGTAGTCCTCTACTCTCTGTTCAAATAACAACTATCGAAAGTTTGGTATCTCAACTCATTGTCATTTTATATGAACTTAAAATGAAAAAAAAAACAAAAATTCTTCATTTCCATGGTGTACCATTTTTAGCCCCTATTTGAACCTACTTGTAGGTGTAGGAGACCCTTTAATTTTTTTGAGAATCAAGATATGTACTAGGACTGTTAAAAGAAATCACCAAATGTTGAAAATTTTAAATAGGTTATGTGTGAGGGTCCTGTTAAAAACAAGAAAATGCAACATAGTCCGATTTTCACATGTAACTTATGGCATGTGGGTAGTGATAAAAAAATGTTGAATAATTTTTGTTTGAAAGACCAGAAAAAGACCTTTAATATGGTACCAAACATACACACATACTCCCCTCACTAAATGAGCTGTAACTTCAAAGGTAATGATCAAAAATCACTAAAACTTCACAGGGTTGGTACATGATAGTAAGGGACTATTTGGTATTTTTTTCAATATTTTTTGAGATCGAAGTGCGTGGGCCATTTGGTGAAATGTCGTGGACTGACCATATAATGCTTTTCCACCATCAAAGCACTCAAAGGGCTTAACATCATGGAGCCACTCACCCATTCACACATCAGTGTACACAGACTAGCCACTACTAGGGTGAGGTGGGTTAAGTGTCTTGCCCAAGGACACAACTACAGCATAGCTTCACCTCTCCAAGGAAAACTAATGAAGCTGCAAAGCATCAATAACACAGGTGTGTGTAAATCCCTCAGTTGTCCTGGTAGAATCCATGGCAAAGGCTTGCCAGACATTATGTGATGCACACTTGAAACATAACACACTGATACAGAAACAAGACAAGAATTTACCTGGGTAACAAAACAGACTCTTTAATATAAAAGTAAATACTAGTTGAATAAAATGTGTTTTCTTTCCACTCAGCCTCTTTGAAATCCAGTTTGTGTATTATTCTTAGTTTTGAATCTGGAGACTCAGGACTAAACAAATGTAGTCTCTGCTTTATTAGTTATAGAGTCAGGGGAAGATACCAAGCAATCAGATTTTTATATGTAAAAATACTGGTTTGACTCCAACTGTGATGAAGTTATCTTTGAGAGGATGCAATCTGTTTTGTGTGTGTTTTGTGTTTAAAATCCCATTAAGTTGAAGCCAGTGTTGGGTTATGGCAACCTCAAACATGTGAAACTTAAGGCGTGTCTGCGTCTCAATGAGTCTAGTGTAAAGACTGCATTTTACTCATCACTGAGTGATTTATCACACAACACTGCACAGAGAGAGTACAGACTGAACTCTGCACTAGTGACAAAGGAAATATAGATCAGATGATTTAAAGTTCATAATGTAAATCAGAGTGTGCAGTTACATACAGCAAATATCTAAACACGTATTGAGTAAGTAGTTTGAATCATTGATTTGTTTTAGGACATCTGCAGTCACAGTTCGTACATTTTGAAATATCTGTTGCCGGGCATGTGACCATAGTGACTGGTTTACACTCAAGTGTCAGATCAGTGCAGATGTTCTGTACACCTTTCCTACACCAACCAGAAAGCTTGCACTACTTGCTGTGTATTTCTTTATTCAAAATATTACTTCATGTCTATTGCAGTCGCTGTGATTAGATGATCCATAGACACTAGGTGAACAAGTTTCTTCTAGTAAATAAATAAAATAATTTATTGCTTGGATTCCCATGATGCACCTGGACTCTCTGCAGAAGTTTGAAGGGAAAGTTGACGCTTCAGTCTGAACTTTACAGACTCACTCTGAACTGTATCTGCATCAGTTGTGGACACATCTACAGCCTACATGTCCATCTCTGTCTTATATTTTTCTCAAAGTTTCTTTTTTTCACACTGGATTTGTTTGGAGTTTGTCCTTGCCAAGAGGAGGGTGTAAGGCAGGGGATGCCATTGGACCGTTATCTGTTTGCTTGTGCATTTTCATTGTTGTCTGTTTTATTAAAAGCATATTTATAAGCAGCCCTTTTAGGCAAATGCTGTTTGATAGCATTCTTTACAGAAAATGGATCAAACTGAATGTAAAGGCAAGGTTATCCATTCAAGTAGATGTTTCTATCTGTGATACAGTGAACCACACCAAAGCAAACTTTCAAGCCAAACAAAACCTTCAGAATGTATACTACATTGAGGCACATTTTGTAGTGTGATATATTACTGAAGTAAATTTAAAGGATAAATGATAATATTGCAAATAAAACATAAAGCAGAATTATCCCCCAAATAGTGTTCTAAATGTACAATATTATTAAAAAAGTAAACGATGCAGTGACTACATAGCAGAATGCAGCATTTGAAGGTTCTATATTATGCAAAATTCACTTG